AATGTAAAGTTCACAGGCCTACACTGTGTTATGTTGTGGGAATGTAAAGTTCACAGGCCTACACTGTGTTATGTTGTGGGAATGTAAAGTTCACAGGCCTACACTATGTTATGTCATGGAAATGTAAAGTTCACAGGCCTATTCTGTGTTATGTCATGGAAATGTAAAGTTCACAGGCCTATTCTGTGTTATATCATGGAAATGTAAAGTTCACAGGCCTACACTGTGTTATGTCATGGAAATGTAAAGTTCAAAGGCCTATTCTGTGTTATGTCGTGGGAATGTAAAGTTCACAGGCCTATTCTGTGTTATGTCGTGGAAATGTAAAGTTCACAGGCCTATTCTGTGTTATGATATGTGTCAGGACAGTGGGAAGTTAGATCACAGGCCTATTCTGTGTTATTTCCTGGGAATGGAAAGTCACAAGCCTGTTCTTTGTTAAGTAAAGTATCTGGATAGTCTAAGTCATGATCCTTGAGGTATGAACCAAAGATCTATAACTGTTACATAAGTATTATGACAGTCTACATTCTAGACTTTATTGTGTGAAGCACAGGTCTTTCTCTGCTATCTTTTATGTGTTTCATGTCAGGCTGTTTTTTTGAAACCATACAGTTACCAAATACAGAGACTATCCAATCAGTAGTAAAAACATCACAGTACAAACTGAGAGTGTTACCACAGTTTATTACACATCCGTAACATTCCCATCAATACTAAACAGTTGTTTGTTATATTAGTGTTTACTATCAGTGGTTGGCATATGTTTGTGTATTGTTCAGTACTTATAAGTGGAATGTTTACTGTGGAAAATTTCAGAATGATCAGTGTGATAACAAAATAGATGTTAGAGCTTTGTGTTTATAGCGATGTTTTATTTCAGCGAGTCACATACAGATGTTTTATTTACAGTGGGGAGATAATACATTATTTGCATGTTCAATGTACATTTTTTCTTCCTCTGCCCATATAGTAAAACACTTTTAATAATAACAAGCCTACTGTGATCTACTGGTAATGTCTATAATAAACCCTAGAAAGATTTGTTTTTTCATTCACATCTAACTGTATAACATATTTTGCTTGTGTTTCCCTAATTTCTTCAGTATCCTTTGTTTTTCCACTATATCTCTCAGTGACCCTTATATCTATTAATAGAATGTACTACTGAATCCCTTGGGTTTGTTATCAACAGGGTTCACTGTAAAGTAGTTATTGATCATTTTACCTAAAGGTCCATGTACCACTAACAAAAACTTTGACATTCATTGGAAACTTCTATGTATAGGTTTAATTAATCATTTCTACTGAAAGAAACCCCTACAGTCAGATCTGTGAACTTTATTACACAAAGCAGAAAAATAATGTTACTTTTCAATAATAAGGATTAATAAGGACTTTTCAATAAAAAAGAATCAGGGAGATTTGATATGTACAAAAAGCTGTAGTATTTAGATTAATTGGGGTGGGGATCCTTAAACCATCAGCTTGTCATACTTTTTCAATAAAATTTTATAATGGCTTTTTTTCTTTTTTACGTCGGAGATGTACAAGCATTTTAGTCAAAAACATATTTCATGTTTTCACAAACATGAAATAGTTTTAAAAAAATGATCATATTAATAAATTTGAATGTTGCAATTTTCCCCATTCTTTCAATGTTCCTTCAGCACGATACATATTTTGGCATGTTTTGCTACAAGGTTTAAGTAAATAGATACACACACCTGCTTTGTGTGGTGATGCTTGGTGTTTGTTGCCTACCCTGTGCTGTATGTGTCTTTGTTCCGCTTATCCTATATATAATACTTAATTTCTAAATTCCATGAGACACTTTTGTGTCACAGACATTCATGTAACAGAGTTTATTTTGGATATGAAATATCTTTGTTAATTCAGGAAAAATCCTACTTTCAAAATTGCTTTTTGAGATCTAAGGATGTCATTTTTAGGTCAACTTTAGGGTTCAGAATTTAAAAACAAAAGAAAAATCCTCAACCATATAAATTTGTACAAGTTTCTAAGACTTACTTATTGTAGGTGATAGCAGAATAAAAGTTTATGAACAAATTAAAAAAGTATATATCTCCTGGAAAAACATGCTGCATGAACAAACTTAAAATATGGTAGAATTGGTCATTGTTAGTATCCCTGTTTGATGTGGTTATGTACTGATTAATCACTGCATTAAACAGATAAAATCAAAAGAAGACTCTCCTTTTTCACCGATTTCTGAAAATTAACAATCATAAATATTTGTTTGCTCTTGAAATTCATAAATGAAATATTGTACAACATTTACAAGGGAAAGTGAGATCTAACATCCGCTTGTGGATGTTCAGGGAAGGTCTGCATACCCCAATCGATGGATTCCTAAATATTCCTAATATTGTACAACAGTTAAATAATAATACATTTCATCAATAATTCCTTAAAAATTTGTATTCCATTAGTTATTTGATTTTTATTTGATTTTTATTTGATCCTGAAGTCTATATTTCGCCAATACCCCCCCAGAAAATCGCCGTGTTTGTAATGCCTGCATATTTTGCCTGTTGTTTGTGCCTGTCGTTGTTTGTTGGTATCACACCAGTTTGACTTCTGTCTGCCCGCCTGCCAGGTATCCAACAGAGAAAGGAAGATTTCGACCCTCCAATCACAGCTTACAGACTTGCACACACAAATTGGCCGCCGCGAGTCCGAGAACACCGCCCACCAACAGACCATTAAAATGTTACAGGAGAAGCAGCGCTATTCTGTAGGGGAGGTAACTAGCAATTACATCCTGTTGTAACAGTCGTCATTATTACCCTCTAAAAGGCACAAATATAGGAAATAATTACAGGTCTAGTTTTGTTGTATTCTGTTTATAAATTCTACACTGTACGTTGTGTGTCCAGATTTTGATATTTTATTTTTTTCATTTTTTTTTATCATTTTGGTGATGTCTGCATGGCATGCTATATATTTGGCACATTTTGGTATCCTATCACAGCACCTGGTTTTTACTTCCGCTGTAATACTGTATGTAAATGTACCTCATAAGTCTTTCGAGTTCTTGACAGTGAACTCTTTGAATTAAAGAATAATTAAGTTTTACTGGTGAGGTGGAGCAGAGCCAGTAAAACAGATATACAGGAAATTTAAACCCCATATATGTATCCAAAAATCTGAAACACAACAGGGTAGAGCTATACAGTTTAAATTTTCTCCGACGTCCAAAATTTCTACAAATCACTCACTTTAGGCAAATCTGACATTACATCCGATACTTTGGTTTTATGTCTGCAGATTATTTTTATCAACCATATCACATCACAAATAGATCAGAATTGTTATTGCATATTTCAAGAAGAAATATCAGTGTTGAGAAAAAGAATATAAAACAAATATTTTAGTTTCTGCATGTGGTCAGTATACATTCAGATTTCACTAAAAATTATTAAAACTTCAAGATATATGCTTATAAACAATAGCATGGAGTTATGACTATAACTTTAGTTGTTGAGTTTTCCTGTCCAAACCTGCCTACCTGTCATATACATTAAAACCCCTTAGTATGCACATATGCATGTATATCGTCATCCTGACCTGTAAACCCCACACAATGGATGTATAGCAGTAGTATAGGCCAGTGTGTTCCATTGTGTCGCCCCACAGGAATGTCGGGCTAATCATTAGATGTGTATCGCCAGAAGTACATGCCTCACCGACTCTAGTCGACTATTGAATGAATAACCTATCAATAAAGCTTAAAACAGCTCGCTCCGTGTTTATTACATTAGTCGACCTAAGTCGTACAGGTCATTGTGGGCTTCAATAGCAAAATTATCGAAAGAAATTGGCAAAGAATGAGTTTAATTAAAAGGTATAAACTTCAATATGTGGACAATCATTTCATCTGTCCTTAAATTACACATTAGATATATCTCTGTGTGATAATAGATAAGCAGTAGACATGTAGGGCAGTTTTGCATTGCTTTGAGCTTAGCTAAGAGAAAGTGTAGGAATGGTTTACATGTACATTTGCTTAGCCTGTCATCCTGACAAATGACAGCTGCAATGACCTTTCAGTTCCCTCATAGCACACAGATTGAAAACTTTGAAAAATAGTAAAAATCATGACAAAAGTAGTATGCAAGGAAAGTGCACAGTTCAATTTGCCCTTTAAGTGACCCTCTACCCCCCTACCTCTCCCCCTACAGCCCTACACCCCCCC